ATGATACAGTTACGATACAACGGGTTCCGGAGGGAATGAGTTGGACTGGTCCATACTTCTCCAACCGATATCTGAATGGCCAAGCCCACCTGAGAACCTGCACAGGAGTTCAACGGGGAACGGGGAGTTCCCCAGCGAACCCTCCGACGAGCAAGTTAGAGAAAGAGAGAAGTGGAAAGTAGAGATATGAAATGGAGATAGAAATCTTAACCTTCTTCTCGTTTCCAACATTTGCTTATATCCTTTGGTAATCATTTCGTTGTCCCGTCCTATCTGTCATCTTGGCCCCAAGTCTATGCTGTAGCTTACCTTGTTCAGGGCGAGGGCATGCCGTTCCGACGGAGAGGTGTTGTCGTAATAAATGCTGTGAGAGGCTGCATTAATGGGGATGTGCAGTGGTAATAACTTTGCAGATCTTTGTCTGCTGATGTGGCTTGCCCTTTACGTGCCACGTGTCTAAATATCATTGGTCCTTCATGTCATGTTGATTTCCGGCTGTGCTGGGCCTTATCAGTTGGGTTATGTCTTGGGCTCTAAGTGGTAGGCTTGGGTTGTTCATAGTGGGTTATGGCCTTTCTAGGCCTAACCACATCAAATTCTATTATTGATTTTTGTGTAAGTAGAAGAAAAGTTGCTAAAATATTACATTTTAATGCTACTTTTTAACCATATGTATGTATAGGTTAGAATAAATTTGATTTTCTTGTAATTGGAATTTCGTAATCTCCTTGTTAGGTTCACTTTTTAAAATTTGTTTTTTTTTTAATTAAAAATATTTTGATGAAAACAAGCATCCAAAAAAAAATGTAATATTTTCAAAATTTATTTTTACCATCAAAACGAAAAAAATATTTTAAATGACAAGTGTTTTTTTAATTTTTATTTATTTATTTATTTATTTTACAAAACTAGGTTTCAGTTTAAAAAAATAAAAGAATAATTTTTGAAAACTCAACCAAACAATTTTTTTAAATCTCATTTTTGTGTATATTATAAACACACTCCTAAGATTTACCTAAAATACAATTTACTTCATGTGGTTCTAGAGATTATATCCCATATCCTGAAATTTTTAATTTTATAACAAATTGGCTATTTTGTTAATAAGTCATCAAATCAATTAACAGTTTTTAATGATCTCAAAACTTTGTTTCAATTAATAATTCATGTAATTTTATCATTGTATAAAAGAACAGTTTAAAATTTCATTTTTTTCAATTAATTCTATTAAATAAAAAATTTTGATAATGAGGTATTTGTAATTTTTTAAATCATAAGCGACAATCTATATTTTAAACAAATCTCATAAAATATATTCATAATTTACCCTACATTTTTTTATTTTTTATTTTTTATTTTTTGATCCATCAGGAATTCTGTTTGCACCGTCAATCACATCCAAATATTATTGCTGAGTTTTTCTTCAGGGCTTTGTCAATTATTGATATAGAATTTTATTTATTTATTTATTTTTATTTTTTTTGAGAACTAAGAAGGCTTAATCACATATAGATCACTTTTGGGGTTAGACTCTAAGAAGTCCAAATTCTAGAAATCACCTTTAATTAGTGATAAAATATTAACCATTTAAACAAATTATATCAGTTGTTAGCTCATGAGCGGATTGAATTACATTCATTCTTAACTTAATTACACTAAGACAACAACAAAAATTTAGCTAAAATATTTGATATCGTCACTACTAGGTGTAACCTGCCAGTCTGATATGGTTCCCTTTTGATGGAGCATTCGTACCAAAACTTGACAATCGGTCTTGATGGTTACAAACTTTAAACCCTTGTCTGTTGCCCACCGAATAGCTCTCAAGGAAGCATTAGCTTCAGCCGCCAATGGTTATGGGTTGGATTTGGAATGGGTTTATAGAAATTCGCTCCCGCCCTGTATCATATTGGGGTGGAACAAATTGGAGGTGACAGAAGCGGGGTGGGTGCTGGGTAAAAAGTAGATTAATTTTGTAAGTTGAAAAATAAAAATATTAATAAAAAAGATAATTTAATATGTTACGATTATAATTTATAATTGATGAGAATTATATTATATAAGATAGAAAATAAATGAATAAAAATTAATATTACATAAAATATTTTAGTATTTTAATTTTATTATAATAAAAAATAAATAAATTACTTATATTATATATATATAAATATATTTAATGAATATAATTGAGACGAAGTTCAGATGGAACGGGATGGGGAAAGCAAAAACCCATCTCCATCCCATTTAATAATCGGGCCAAGGAAAATCATGTGAGACAGGATAGGAAATGCTGGTGCGGAGCGAGGTGCGAGAAAATGACCAGGATGGTAGTGAATGAGCTCGTGATGCAAATTGAGCCACCTGCTGATTGCTGTCATCCAAGCAAATCCATGCTATACCTGCATCTTGTACAGAAGACCTCCAAGACCCATCAATGATGAAAGTCCAATTGTTGGTGCTTCCATTCTGTTCATCATTTTGCTGCAAAATACATGGGTCAGATTGTGATTGTGTTACTTCAATAATATTACTGTGTTTGATTTTAGTTTTCTGAATTTTATTTTTTGGAAATTGAGGATTTTTATTTTTCATATTTTTAAAATTTTAAGTAACTTTTTATTACTTTTTTAGATACATTTTACTTAGATGTATCTAAATTGTAAAATATTTGTGAACAAATATATAAAAAAAATTAATACATACACAAAAATACAAAAAAATGTATTGAAGTTTCGTAATTTTTTTTTATTTTTTTTTTTTGTATTTTTAGTATTTAGTGAATTTTTTATAAAAAAATTTCACAAATATTATACTTTTTAAGTGTATTTATGTTAGATATGTTTAAAAATTTTAAAAATTATTTAAAATATTAAAAAAATTCATTGAAAATAAAAAATAAAAAAGTAAAATTTTTTAAAAAGTAAATTATGAAAACTAAAATCAGAGTGATTAATATTGTGTGCATGTGAGCAAGAGCTTGAACGCCCACAAAGATTGGCCATTATATTCAATTCATTTGCGCAGCTATCGCACTCTCAACAGTCGCAATGGGTTGGCTTTTTAAAAGCATAGCTGTTGCGTTGTAACCATGTAGCCCAAAGGGCAGCGACAGACTGAATAATGATCTCCTCATTTTTGACTAACTCAATCCAATCCTTGAACCAAGCAAAGAAGGAAACCGCTAAGCCAATACTAAAACAATTATGATACATTCCATTAAAAAAAAGAATACTAAATCAGCTCTAATGAATTAAAAATTAAAACAAAAAAGACACGGTCATCACATCATGGGGGACAGCTCATTAGAGCTCCTCCTAGAACTTCATATTTAGAGCTTTCAAATTTTTTTGATACTAAAAATCCAACCCCAATGAAGTTCCCCTCCATACTCTTTTTTTTCAGTGTTTCTTATCTTCATTTGGGAAATGGGTTGGTTTCTTAATTTTTTGACTTTTTTAGCTATTTTAACTTGGGACTAAAAAGCCTGATTTGGAAAGAACGTTTGATTTTTTTTGATTTTTTTGACTTTTTTGTGAGAGAAACAATGTAATGATTATGAGTTGGATGTGATGTTTTGTCTTATTGAACTTAAAAACTTATTTTATTTTTTGTGATTAAAATAGCTAAAAAAACCTGACTTTTGACTTCCCAAACAAAGCCCTAATATGACATCTAACACAAAGGACATGAACCACCATACCCCTCTTTTTTTAATTCCCACTGAACAGGCAAAATATTGTGAATACACATCCACAGAAATAACGTCCACTTAGGAGGAATTTTAAGTTGTCACAATTTCTTCCACACCAAATGATCCAGCCCCTGCCTACATATTAACGGATAATATCTAACCAAAGCTTGCTTGTACCCAGATTTAACCGTATAGTCCCCCCTCTTGATCGGACTCCAAACACATTTGTCCTCACATGATTGGATTGGATTATGTATAGCTAGAAGATATGCAACTTTCCGGAAATAAGAGCCGAATCAGATTCAATCTCCAACATGCCCTCTCCCTATCTATGAAATGTTCCAATATCATCTTAGGGAAAAGCCGAGAAAGACCCCGCCCTCTCAACGGATTAGGTTCCTATTTGTTATTCTGGAAAGGAAAACAAGCTATCAATATTAATTAGGATAAATTACAAATACTTGTTCTGAGATTTATTTAAAAAACTAATTGCCTCGGTAATTTTAAAAATTACAACTCATCCACTCAAATTTCTAACTGCATAACAAATGACATTTTTTATTATCATGAATTAACAGTTTTTAGTGATGTCAAAAATATATTTCAAATAATATTTCTAGTAATTTTATTGCTATAGAGGAGGATAGTTAAAAATTTTATTTTTTTATTAATTAACTATGTTAAATGAAAAATTCTGACAAGACTTATCTGTGATTTATAGAACTATAAAAAACAATTCATATTTTAAGCGAACCTTAAAACACGTATTCCTATTTCCCTATTAATTAAAAGCAATAACACCCTTTACAGTGAATGTTACACACTATTGTTTATTCAAGTCTTTCAACAATAAAATTAAAATGTTAAATCACCATAAATTTTTTTACATAATATTTTTCTACAAAATATGGTAGTGGCGTATTTATATTTTTTTAAGATAGGGGTAGTGGCATATTTATAAAATTATAATAACTTTGTGATTTCAAATAAATGAATTACAATAAGCCAAGGCATAATGTATATAATAATTCTCCACAATATTTCTATTTGTGTGACAATAACTCATCTCAACTGCAAGGCAGTTGAGCAATTCATGTGCTTGGACTTCGACAACATATTATACTCGTTTCATTTCATCATCTATTTCATAAATTGTATATGAATATTAAATTTATGAAAAAAAAAATAAAAAAAATAAAATGTCAATGAATTAGAGAGCCTTTATTTGTTTATATTTTTATTTTTATTTTTATTTTCCTATAAATAACAAGCTCCAGCTCAAAATGAAGTACAACCATAAAGCTACCTGATGCCTGAAAACCCAGCTCTAACCATGTACCGTAATTTAGCTTTCATTTTCTTGCAGCTTAAGTTGGCATGGGTTGTTCTGGGAGCAGCTTTTGCTGCTGCTTCAGCAACTGCTCAAACCTTGCCTGGTTGCCAAGAATTTTGTGGTAACATTAGCATCCCATACCCATTTGGTACATCTGAAGGATGCCACATAGCCGATGATTTTCTAGTCACTTGTAACGACACCGACCACAGCACTCCCAAGCTGTATTTAAATACGAGTCAGAGTAACATAGAGATCACAGAGATCTTTCTTTCTGGTGAATTCCGCATATTAGCCTTGATAGGGTATGATTGCTTCAATAAAGGGGGTGGTGGGGAAGACAATCTTAAACCCTGGATCACATTGGCCAAATTTCCCATCTCAAATACCCGAAACAAGTTCACAGCCGTAGGTTGTGACACCTACGCCTATATCATAGGTTCCTTTGGACGAAACTATACCACGGGCTGCATGTCACTATGCGACAGCATCGACAATGTGATCAACGGCTCATGCTCTGGCATTGGCTGCTGCCAGACAAGTATCCCCAAGGGAGTTACGAATTACAACATTGCAGTCCATAGCTACTACAGCCATACCAGCGTATGGGGCTTCAATCCATGCAGCTATGCTTTTGTAGCCGAGGAAACTGCTTACAACTTCTCTTCTTCAGATCTTGCAAACATGCAAGGGAAAACAATGGTTCCAATGATTCTTGATTGGGCAGTAGGGAACCAAACATGTGATGAAGCCATGAAGAATCTAACTAGTTATGCTTGCAAGGCTAATAGCGACTGTTATGACTTCGATAATGGTCCCGGGTATCGCTGCAATTGCTCAAACGGATATGAAGGCAACCCTTATCTTCCTAATGGTTGTACAGGTAACCACAACTGTTGAAAGCTTTCAGTTTCTTCCTAACATTGATGTTATGATCTGAATATGATATCAAAGATCAAACTTGATTGTTCCCTGTTTCAGATATTAATGAGTGCGTTATTTCAAGACCCTGCAACATGACATGCCAGAATTTACTGGGCACGTACAATTGTTCTTGTCCAGAGGGCTTTGAAGGTGATGGAAGAAAGAATGGATCAGGCTGCAGTCCTATTCATCACCACAGGTTTCGCTTGATCAACATTGCACTAGGTAGGTACACCGTACACTCAAAGCTGCTATTAATCGTAAAATTGTCTACTGATTATTTTCATCATTATCCCAATGTATTAATCAACTTTATTTTGTGCATAGCCCACACCACACTAAACTTTAATCTATGTTATACATTTTGTTTTATTTTTCTGGGTTTATAGATTTTTTGTTTTATTATAATGAAGTTGAGACTTGAATTGTAGGTATTTACATTTTCCATTTGAATCCCTGCAGGCATCAGCATAAGCATATCAGTGCTACTCCTTGGTAGCTCATGGCTATATTGGGGATTTAGGCAGAGGAAGATCATCAATCTCAGAGAAAAGTTCTTTCAACAAAATGGTGGCATCATGTTACAACGACAACTTTCCAAACGTGAAGGATCAATTCAATCAGCTAAAATCTTTACATCAGAGGACCTCAAGAAGGCAACAAACAACTACCATGAAAGTAGAGTGTTGGGCCAAGGAGGCCACGGAACAGTCTACAAAGGAATATTACCAGATAACACCATAGTTGCCATTAAGAAGTCCAATGTACTTGATCAGAGTCAGTCCCAGATAGAGCAATTCATTAATGAAGTCATAATTCTCTCCCAAGTCAACCACAGGAATGTTGTGAAGCTCCTGGGGTGTTGCTTGGAGACACAAGTTCCCTTACTTGTCTATGAATTTGTTACCAATGGCACTCTCTATGATCACATACACACTACCGACCATAACAGGTCCTCAATAACTTGGGAGAATCGTTTAAGGATAGCAACAGAAATTGCAGCAGCCCTTTCATATTTGCACTCTGCCGCTAGTACTCCTATCATCCATAGAGATGTTAAGTCCACTAACATACTCCTAGATGACAATTACATTTCTAAAGTATCTGATTTTGGAGCTTCAAGGTTGATCCCTGTAGACCAAACTCAACTAACTACATTGGTTCAAGGGACACTTGGTTACTTGGACCCAGAGTACTTCCGCACAAGCCAATTGACTGAAAAGAGTGATGTTTACAGCTTTGGGGTTGTCCTTGTGGAGTTACTAACCGGCAAGAAGGCACTTTCTTTCGATAGACCTGAATTAGAGAGAAATTTAGCAATGTATTTTGTGTCATCAATGAAAGAAAATCGCTTGTTTGAAATTGTTGATGAACAGGTGATGAATGTAGCAAAGGATGCCCAACTAAAGGAAGTTGCTATTTTAGCAAAGAGATGCTTAAGAGTGAAAGGCGACGAAAGGCCAACCATGAAGGAAGTGGCAGTAGAGCTAGAGGGATTAAGAATAATGGAGAAGCATTCATGGGTAAATGACAACAAAAATTTAGAAGAGACTCAGTACTTGCTTGGAGATCAACTTTCAGATGCTTATGGCATTGGTAGCAGTGGAAGCGATTCAGTAGCTTATGATAGCTTGGCAAACCATATCATTTCACCAACTGATGATGGACGATAAGGTGTTGCTTGCCGTGGTCAGTGTTTATTAGATGTTATTTGGTAATGTTTTCATTTGAGCCTTGTCAAATAACCCGTCAACTGTTTTGAATTTTTTGACTATTTGTGTTAATATTCAATTTGTTGTGATTTTCCACGTTGAGCATCAAAATGTTTTCTAGAAAGATAGTTAATGATGGGAACCCTTTCTGTATGCATCAAACAAACTATGAATAGTAATTAATTTTTCTTAATTGGAACATATCTACGCGTACTAAATACGAAGTGTCATCCATATCTATTTAGACTTGTTGTGAAATGTTGATTGTAGAAGGATTAAAAGATCGGGGGAATGTAAGCGTTTCTTTACGAGTATCTTTTTACTTTTCCAAACAACCACTTGCATATGAATTCCAAGAAATTGGATCGAAAAAAGTCAATTACCAACAAGGCAACTGAGTTTAATATGACATTTCACCATTTCCAAATTAACATTGCTTCAGAGGATAAACTGTCGGCTAGACTCGGCATCACCTTCTTCCTTCGGCACACGCCTTATTTTAGACCATCCTATTCAATTCAAATTGAAGTATTAGATCATTATATTATATAAATAATTATATATGTTGTTCTCCCTTCTAATTTGTCATTTTTTTTTCTTTTTAAATCCATGCAATGGGACATGTACAAATTTTCCAGGAGGTTTCTGTTGTTCTTGCCCAGAGGGATACTATGGTGATGGATTGAAAAACGGAACAAGTTGCTTCAAGAATCAGACCGATGGAACTACCTGGCTTATTGTTGTTCTGGGTTAGCATTTGCTTTCACTGATCTCTAAGAATATGACTGTAGACGTCCGCGAGGGACCCCGCTACAGTTCGGACTCGATTAGTGTCACGGTTCTTAATCTGAACCAAAGAGTCCAAATCTGGCAAATCGTTTTGAGAAACAGATTTTTTGAAAAGTAGTGCCAAACATGGACTGCTTTGCCAGATACAGAGTCGCCACCTAAATATTTTAAAATGGGGAAATTTAGGAAACCCTGACTCGGTGCCAAAGGCCACATGTTCGTCATCACCAGAGTTGCCTCGGCTCGGGAGCTAGGGTACGATTGGGGAAGGTCAGGTAATGAGCACCCCTATCGCCCGATCCGAGATCGGCCTCTCTAACCGTGATATCCGTTTTTTGAAAACGTTATGTGTTCTTATCCCGATTATTAGCCTAGAATTACTAATGTTATTGCGCATAGCACAAAAGTATAGACTAGATCGCCTATTTGGAAATAAGCATTGCATATCCGTTTGTTTTGAAAAAATGTTTTGGAATTTGCTACTTGCAAGTAGGCTGAAACACGGATTTCAATGAGTTATTCCAACTCAGCTAATCCAACCTTCACCCACAGGCATTCAAGTGTTATATCAATAAAGCAGCTAGCCTCATGGTATATGCTTCATGGCAACACTCACATGCATGCAAGGATGCTAAAGCAAAAGAACTTACGAGTACTCTAAGCCAAACAGAAACTAGTTAGTAATCATATGCATGATCCTAGTTCATGTTAAGATGGCTAATGCAACACATGCAAAATGCAACTAAGATAGGCTCGGCTAATCTAACAATGACATGTGAAATGCTACAACTAACACGTATTCAATTTGAAATTAAAATATAATGCAGTTAGAGTGATGCGCCGAGCCCGATGCATGTAAGACAAATGCGTGATGCACGCATGCATAGCATAAGGTATGCTAAATTTAAATATGTCCTAGTCTACCATCATAAGCGGGTAAATAAAAGAGAGAAAGAAGTGGGGGTTGGAAGACATGCAACACACGCACCACACTTATTAACAATTGCCCTCACTTGGAGGGTCCAAATAAATATTACAGTCCGAATAAATGATACTAAATTAATTATTACAAAATTTCTAATCTAATTAACAAATTAAATGCAAAGAGAAGATGGCCGCAGCCCCGCCTCGGGATGCGTGAATGATGTATGCTCGGATTTATCTTGCCCCAAAAGCCCGTACCAATACCACTGCTGCCTCTGTTTACACTGCCCTACTTCTCTGAAAACTGCCAAAATCCTGAGACAGGTTCCTGAACCCTGTAGGACACCATCGGCTGAAGGGAATACCCACGGCCATGGAACTTATCCATCGGCTGGGGTTTCACATTATCGGCCACCAATCCATGGCCGGTCGACACTCTACAGTGCCGGTCGGCAGAAAACTCCCTGCAGAAACTGGTTTTTGAAGCAACAAGGACAGACAGTGTATGGCATGGAATTTCAAGCAAATGTACGCGCGAGCACACTCCCTATCATGTAAGGGACTCAAGGGAGCATGACCCTCGCCTCGGGCCATCAATCATGCATTTTGATGCGTGATGGCCTAAGAAGCCAAGGTTGCAATTCAATGAAAATGCATGCAACATATAAATGAATACCAAACCCTATCATGCCAAAGTCAAGGGCCTCGGTGACCGAGAGTTGAGACGCGTTACATCACTTGTAGTATGAACACTTCTCCCCCTCACACTTGGTTTGACACCCCAAACCAAGTAATGCAATGCATGTTATGCAAACATGGCTCGAAAATGCAACATATCACTAAAATGCAAAGCATGCCAAATGTAATGCAACATATCATGGCAAGCATGCAATGTTCCTAACATGCAATGCTACAATGCAAGCATGCGATTAGAGGCAATAAGTCACGCATACAACCATGTCCGAGAAGGGACTTAGACTGAAATGGGAAGCCTCAAAACACCCCAAAAACAGTGGCTAAAAGTACTTCAAGTGATGGACAAAATGCACTACAAACATGCAAGCCAAAAGGGGGGCCAAAGCTAAGGCATAACAAAGAGAATTCTAACCACCAAGCCCAACATGGCATAAGCAAAAACAAAAAAGAATTTTAGCATGCAAAATAGCTCCAAAACCCGCTGGTATGGCAGCCCTAAAATGACTCAAACACATAGGCATACACAATGCACATGTCAAGACATGAAACACAACACTTCAAGGCATTGAAAGACACAAAGGACAATGTAAGACCACATTATATGGACTGGAATATGATCTCAACTAATGCCAAATGATGATAATAGGCCAAGCTAGGCATGTTAATGATCCATAACACTCAAGGCTCATGATCCAAATGCAAAGCAATTATATAAGCATGCTAAACAAGACCAAATAATTTCACAAAGTGAAGCCAAAATATGAGAGCATGGTAGTCAAAAGTCATGATGCATTTCTAGGCACAAACAGGGAATACAAAGCAAGTATGTTAAGCATGCAAAGGGCCACCAATCCGACCAAAAACAGAGATAACATGTGACCTAAATGGCACCAAAAACATCTGATATGGAGCCAAAAACAACCAAGCATATATGGTACCCTTATGAGCCCAAAATATGCACAAATGAGACACAAAGGGAGAGGGGTGTCCCTCCCCTATACAAGACTTCAAACCATCTTCTAAAATCCACTGGATTTCAGTGGTGAGAAGGCTAATACAACAAAGCAAATAAGGCTTAAAGAAAAAGACACCAAAAGGGGCCAAAAGAGACCTAAGAGGGGGATTTCGATCCCCAATGCCAAAACACCCTTAATGATAGTTCTTAAGCATGAAAATATAAGACTTTTTTTAGTTATACACAAAGCTCAAATCAATATGCAAGATAGGTCAAAAGCCAATGCAAGATTGGAGAAATTAAAGTGAAAGTCTTACCCTTGAAGAACACTTCAAGAACAGTTGATCCAGCCACACTCTACTGAGCAAAATCAGTCCAAAATCTCAAAAAACAACCCTCAAAGCCTCTCAATCTCGGAGCAAGGTGTAATAGTGTGTGTATTAGTGCAAAAGTAAGGTTAAAATGCACTTTTAGGCCAAGAAAACACACACAAGGGAGAAGAGAGAGGGAAATATAGAGAGAGAGTGTGTATATCAGATGTATATGTATATAAGCTCTGGTTTTTATGTTCAAAACTCCAACCCCCTACAATGGAAGAAGAGAGGTTCTTATATAGGCAAAAGAAATGGTCTCAAGTTTCTCAAAGAAGCTAAGTAAAAGGGGGCAAAGGGGGTAAGAAGGTCAAGGCTTCTTGAGGAAGCTAAGACAGCTGGCCAAGCTTCTTGAGGAAGCTTTGACAAAGGGTCAAGCTTCCTCAAGAAGCTTTGACCAAAAGGGGGCAAAAGGGGCAAAACAGTCACTTCATGCACGGGGAGGAGTGTTGGTGCATTCCAGCTGGCACAACTGGCATGTACCAAGTCTGAAGGGTACAAAAGGGTCACACCGGCCAGCAAAAAAAGGTCACCGGCCAAAACAAAGTGCCGGTCGGCAAAATATAGTGTCGACCGGCCATTGGTTTTAAGAAACCACTGCCGGTGGCACCAATAAACGGCCGGTGATGTGAGGGGACAGCCGGTGGGGTGTGGGAATGGCCAACAAGCCATTCCCTGCCTCTCAAGGAAAAAAAACAAGTGTTTGGTGCAAAACCAGACACCGAAAAGTCAAGTCGAGAGATCCTGAGGCGAGGCGCGCAGCCGAGACCTCCGGGAACTCGAGACGAACACAAGCACGAATGATCACCGAGTGTTCCAACGGTGACGTCCAAGTCTTGAGGACGGTCAAAAATGGGGTGTCTACAATGACTCACTATTTTTGTCAAAATTGTGTGGCACAACATATCCAAATGTCCAGTTTAATCAACAAGGGACACTAGCAATAGTTAAGAACTAGACTTAGTGGAGACTAATAATATCAACAATGTCACAGTAGACTATTAAATGTCGACTTAGCAAAAAATTCACTGATTAGGATTTCTTGTGGATCCCACAATTTTTGTGCATAGTTATAACAACCCCGTCATGTGTTATGCTCTTAATCATTGATTTTCAATGTTATTTAAGTGCTTAGTGAGAATTTGAATGTTAATTATGTGCTTAATATAAATTTCTTATCTGTTAGCCGTAGGAATATCTGTTGTGATTTCTGTTATAACCTAAAATTGAAGGCCTTAATGGCGTTAGAAACCGAAGTTGATTAGTTTATTGGAAATGGCATAATTTTTAAAGCATAATGAAAAGTTTGATTAAAATTTGATTCAAAATAAATTAATTGAATTAAATCAATTATTGATTAATTAACTTAAGCTTTAATTACTTAACTTAATCCTTGATTAGTTAATTAAGCTAATCTAGCGTATATATATGTGTGTGTGTGTGTGTGTGTATGTGTTAA